TGAATATTAAGAATGAAATATTCGTATTGATAATCTTCATAATGATGGGGTTTTATATTTCTATTCTTTGATAGATTTTTCTAAATTCGATATTGAATTAAATATTTTATAAAATTATCTTTCTAATATTATATTCACAGATTCGATATCCATGAGACATGGATTGCCATTATTTGATATTGACGAAGCATACCCATAATATCTTCAAATTTCGAATCAATATGAACATCATAATTTGATATTTATCATGATTGGGAAAATGGGACTGGACAATTACTTACATCTATGATTAATTTTATCGTCTTTTATCAAAAAAAAAAAGATTTGGAATTGAAATTTGACCCATTGGGGTTGTTGTCCGACGAACCGGCTAGGAGGCCAGCCGACCTTCTGATCCCACGAATAACGATTGATTTTATGGTAGTCTCGCTTTTTCGGGCCAATAAGGGATATTCGGTCATTGAGGAATATATTGTCCTAAAACGACGTGATTAGGGAATTCAAATTAAGTGCCACGAACAGGGGATCGGATTCGAGCCTATCATTTTTGAATATGTGGGGGGCTTGAATTAGGAAGGTGCTCGATTGGTGGAACTTTTGTATAAGATGATTGATGATCCGAAAGGACGTCCCACAGGTCGAATCCGATATTTGTTATAGAAGAGGATTTCTATCGCTCTCCAATATTATTTCCATCATTATTTATCATGGAGGCGTGTGGGATGCCAAGGCCGAATCGAATCTTTGTCTCTCGGATTCGTATCCGATTAATTCCCATGTAGATACGATATCTATTCTGGTTAGGACATCCCCCCAACGCAGGTGAGCTACGATGATTGATGATAGATATGACAACTTGGGATTTATATGATTTAGAATTTCATTTCGTCCTTTGGAATAGAAATCTCTTGTATCGATGATTTTATTTTTGCGATTGGGGATCTTTATCTTCTCTCCTTTTTTTCGTCTCTCTGGGATGCCCTATTAATTGGGGGAGGTGGCGACTTTTTAAGCACGATGGGATATCTTGGAGAATACGAAAATTTCGTTATGATTTATTTTGCTTTGGATTGGACCCTGGATAGATTTCATATTCTATTTCTTCAATTGCAATTTTTGGGAATAGAAATCTCCTATACCGATATTTTGAGAAGTCTGCCAAGGATATATGGATTTAATCTGATGTATTTTGTAAAATAAGAAAAGATGAATGGATTCTTTCTTAAATGTCGAGGAATAATAGGGGGGTAGATGTAGGGGCGTTAATTTCTCAATTATTCACGAATTTGATTCTTTGATGGAAATTGGGCGAACACGTCTCATCATGGAAAGGTATCTTTCAAGCTAAGAAGTATTCCCGAATCCTTAAGGAAGAATCTTTTCCCATCATCGTCCATTCTTCCTCGAGGCCCTTCATTGATTCCAAATAATGGATTATGTGTCGATTTCTTATGATTTCTATATGACGAGATTGGGGATGGAGATTCTGTTTTTTTAAGTACGATGGAGCGTCTTGGAGAGCGCGAAAGATATATTGAATTTCATTGACGAAATTCTTCATCATAAGAAGGACGATTGGAATTTCTTTCGTAGAGTTAATCCGGGATTTCGTTCATTTCGGGAAAGATATATATCTATGATATTGCGTACTTGGATTTTGGGGATTCCTGATGGATATAGATAAAAGAGATATCATGGGCGACCCGTCCCATTCGACCAAGATATTCGCCCTATCATTTTGAGGATAATTTGGCGTAAATTGATATTCAAGACGATTTTCCTTCTCGATAAAGAAAAATTTGTAAGAATCGTCATATTTCCAAATAAGTCATAATGGGAATCCTCTCGGGGACCGAGGCAATGATTCGTTCCATCCGCGCATGGATTCGTATTAATAACCACAAAATCGATTTTTTTTCTCCTCCAAAGAGATATCTCTAATCCATATTCATATAGTCTTAGAAGAACATTATCAATACATAATAACCTCCAATAATTCTATTATGGGGGCCCTAATCCTCTCGCATATTATGATCGATTGATATAATCCATCCATAGATAACAAATTTCCCCCCCCCCTTATCGGACTCTTTTCTATCTATCCAAGAAACGAATAGATGAAGAAATCTATAGCAATATTAAGGAAAGAAAATCATATTTGATTCGATCCTGAATCGTAGATGCTTATATCTTCAACCTAGACGATTTTCGAATAAGAATTTATATTCATCGAAATATATACATATATGAATTTCCCAAAATTATCTCATTATAATTATACGATCAATAATTCCCATTCCTTCCCATTATTCGAGACCCATAATGACCATATATATTCTATTCTCCCATTCCGATAGATAATAAATCCAAATGATATTTCCAATGAAAATCGGAAGATTAATCTAATAATCAATCAGATATAATTCAATTCCATCGAAATTTCAACTATATTGAGAAATGAAGAGAAATCAAATAGTTTCCTCCTCCAAATCCTTCCCATAAATAATCTAATGAAATTCCTATCCTAGACCGACGATTAATTAATCATAATCCCGAATTCTTGGTTCGATACCTTCTCTCCAAAATTAGAATCATTAATTCCATTCCTTTATAATTTAGTTTCGATACTCTCAAAAAACACGAATTTATATCCATAAATGCAATAATCATCATCCAGATTTTTTCAAAAATCGAAATCTAATATTTCCAAATAATGAAAAATCAATATTAAATTCAAGATCGATGAATCGTGTATATATGAAAGCAATCTTTCATATCGATAATTTAGATATATCATTTCTTGAAATCCGTTTCCTTTCTATGGATCCCGATTTTGTTAAGTATTTGTCTTATCATCTAGATCATTCCATCCATGGTCAATGATATTTGATTGTCTTCGTATTTCGTATCGTAGAAATATATAGAATTATCAATTCTGTAATATCTGCAAAATCGTTTCTTTCGAGGTTCAGCCGCGGCACGCTCGTGCTACACTAAGAGCTGCTCTTCCTGGCACGGTGCGAAGGCAGCAAATTGACGGATCTGTGGTAGGCTGGTTGCATTCTCAATGCGTAATCGAAGTTGCGTGCGCTCGCGCACCTGATAAATTGAGAGAAGGTGGATCCGCTTCCTGCCAATCGCACTGCTATTGACCAATGTGCGCCAGCCAGTTCCTTGGCTCTGCTCTAGGGTGTAGTTTCTCACCCTCTGTCCCAGCACGATGTCCTCCTGCAATTGAACCCGATCGAAACGGGAACCTGGCTCCAGAGTTAAGGTAAAGGTCATCCCTGAACCAGAGGTGGTTGACAGTGGCGAGCCATAGCCTTAATTTCTGAGTTCATAAGCCCCCCAAAAGTGTACACTTTCAGTTCATACGGGAGTTTAGTATCCCCAACAAGTGTAAAGTGTACTCATTCAGCTACTAAGTAGCAGCTCCGTACCCAATCTCCCAATTGCTTGTAGACGGACGCATGGCTCTTCTCCACCAAACCCTCACGGTCGATTGAGAAGGCCAATTCCATGACCATCCCCCTTCCCACAATGTCATGATAGATGGGGATCATCTCTGAGAGGCTTCGGACCGTCAAGTTCGGCTCCCAAAACCACACGTGCGCCTGGAAGAGTTGGGGATCGCAAAACTTGGGCACCCATTCGTCGCTATCTGCTTGGCCAAAAAACCCACTGCCTGTACTCCACACATCCGATGAGCCGACGTCTCGAGAGGGATGTCCGGATTCAGTGCCGCACCACTGAAGGGGATTCTTGGGGGTATTGGCAGCCTGCGGCTGAAGTTCATCCATAAGGCCTCCTAAGCCATGCAGCCCGCTGTCAACCCAAATTTCGGTGAGGTTCCCGTAGTGTGTCCAGAGCTCTGTCACCTGCTGCTTGGCAACCTGAACATACTCCTGGTCCGACATATTTCTTTGTCGAGGAAGCACTTCCTCCGTGCAGGAGTTACTGCCTGTAAAGCTGTGGCAAAGATAGAAGTTCTTCATAATCGAATAGTAAAACCCATAGCCAACTCCGGCACTCTTCGCCGCGTCGACAAACCTCTGCAGAACATCGTACTGGACGGACGCGCCGGGCATGCCGACGTTGTAGCCATAAGGGCTGCCATCCGGAAGATTGGCTTTTGTGGGCCACAGCGCAAAACCGCAGCCATGCTTGGCCGTGAGCACCGCGATATTTGCCCCCAATGCCACAATGCTCTCCATCCACTGCGAGGTGTTCAATTTCTTCGGATTGAAAGTGCCTGGGTCACTGGTCTTGCCAGTAGCATACGGCGCAAGTACATCCCAGTTGTCCTTGTCGCAGCCAGGATCACCATTGTGAGCAAAGGTGGCCATGTTGAAATGGATCAACGCCACAAAATCCGTGGATTGATAGCGCAGCTGCGCAGGCGATGGGACGGGCATGCCAGCTGCAGCCTGCAATGCGAGTACCACGGCCCAATGGACCCATCTCCGGAAAGCCATCGATGGCACAAGATAGGAAGGGAACCACCGGAGTGCCTCTCAAGAGCCACGGGTTCAGGGTTCAGGGTTCAGGGTTTAGGGTTTAGGGTTTAGGGTTTAGGGTACTCACCTTCTCCGAAAGGAATAAATCGCAAGAATCATCCAAGTGATTTACGTCAGCCTCCCTGTTGCTTTGGGCCCCGTCTGCCTGAAACGCTTTCTCAGGGTTTAGTAGGTTCCAGGTTCATCCTATCCTCGACTCCGACGCCCCCCCCGGCGACCCCAATGTAACCTAGAGGAAGAGTCTGCAACTCTAATGAGTCTTTTGCGCGATCTTCCTTCCGAACTGAAGAGGCGCGAAGGCGGGCAGAGGTCCCTTGGAAAGAAGAGTGGCGCCGACTTTGTTTTTGCTGTTCATGCGCACGACATGCATCACCACCGCTGGCATCAGTTCATGCCGGCTGGCATGGTATCCTGTGAGACTGAAATTTTCCGTAGCAGACGCATGATGTCGAGACCTGTCTGACCACGACTGAGGACATGAAGGGCTTTGGGTTTAGGGTTTAGGGTTCAGGGAGGCCAGCATTTACATTGGAGTTGGTGAAATGGTGGGTCTCCATTCTCGTCCTTATGTTTCAGGGCCCTAGGTTTTGGCTGCAGACGCCTTCAGCATCATGCTGTGCTAACCATTCGTTAACAACTCCGCGGCTCTCAGCCAAGAAGTAGTGCCCTAAACCCTAAACCCTAAACCCTAAACCCTAAACCCTAAACCCTAAACCCTAAACCCTAAACCCTAAACCCTAAACCCTAAACCCTAAACCCTAAACCCTAAACCCATCCTAAAAACCCAACACCCGAAAACCCTCGAAGCTCTAAGCCCGCCCCCCCCCCCCCCCCTCAGCAGAGCATGGTGATCGGGCCGGAGTGCCCGTACATCGTCTCCTTTTCAAGGGTTTAGGGTTTAGGGTTTAGGGTTTAGGGTTTAGGGTTTAGGGTTTAGAGTTTAGGGTTTAGGGTTTAGGGTTTAGGCTCTAAAGCTGACCAACCCCTGAAGCATAAATACCAATGCACGTCTTAGTACCTAAACACACATACATGCACAAGTGCATACATGCATGCATGCATACATACATACATATCTATTTTTTATGTATACACACATGCGCACACTACATGTCTATTTGTTAAAGATTATCAACAACATATACATGTACACAAACACACACTATCTGCTGTAACTTAAGCAGCTATATGCAGAGAGGCTTGAACATGGATGTGCAACCCCGAATTACTGGGCAGATTCCCCCTTTTTTAGATACGGGGGCCTGCCATCACGAGTCTGCAAGAGGTTCGGGTTGGTAACTTGAACTTTCATAACACTAAACCCTAAACCCTAAACCTAAACCCTAAACCCTAAACCCTAAACCCTAAACCCTAAACCCTAAACCCTAAACCCTAAACCCTAAACCCTAAACCCTTCCCGTGCCCGCCTCGCACCACTGCTTCTCGAGGTCCCACAGTTTCAGAGTGTAGTCCTGCCCCAGCCATGGATAGCGTTTGGGGATTTGGGGTAGGGTAGGGGGCTTCGGAGTTTTGGATTTAGGGGTTTTGAGGTTGCACCCGTTGCAGTTGCAGCCCTCATCAGCGTTTAGGGTTTGGGGATTCAGGAGTTCGGGTATAAAGCCGGACCGGAGGCTGAAACCTGACATGAACCAAAAGCACGTGATGCCTTGCATGCAGCACCCCTAAGGCCACTGAGGGCGTTCGGCCCAAAGTCCCTAAAAGCTCACAACTCTGCATTGCTCTTTCTATGGTTCTGTAAGGTTTACACTTGACACCCTGAAGTATGCAATCGCCGTAGCGCCGTATACCTGTGAAGGCAGGAAGATCTCTCATAATGGAGCCCAGAACCCCTCCCCCCAAACATCCCTAAACCCTGAACCCCACATCCTACACCAAAAGCCCTCAGCAGCCAAATCTCCAGGCTACTGGGACTAGGACGGCCATCTCGCCAATCTTGCGGGCTCTCAAGACTTGATGCATGCGGCCAGGGCGCATCGGAACCGCTGAGCGCAAGCTGCTTCTTCCAGTTTACGCCTGGGACAAGGATGGAAGTCTCAGGGTTTGGGGTGTAGGGTTTAGGGTGAGATATGGGTAACCCTGAGGCTACCTGAATCGGTGGGCTCATCCGAAACCCTAAAACCTAAGCCCTGAAATCTCATGCACGAGAAGCTGCCAAGCGAAGGTCGGAAGTCCCAAACCTCCAGAAGGCCTCGTCCTCCTGAAGCACCCAACACCTTAAACCCAAACCCTGAACCCTACAACCCGAACCTAACACCCTAGAAGCCCTAAACCCCAAACCCCAAGCCCTAAACGCTACAAGCCCTAAACCCTAACCCCCAAACCAGACCCTTCTCCGATGGGTTCAAGGTTTCCTCGACTACCCGAGACCAAAAGGCCGCGCGCAAACCTCCCTGCCCTGCGCTGCCTGCTGTGTTAAGCTCTCGGGGGGGGGGGGGGGTTAGGGGTTCGGGGTTAGGGTTCAGAGTTCAGCGTTTAGGGCTGGGTTTAAGCCCCCTAAAAGTTGAGGGAGAACCCGAACCATTACACCGAACCCTCCAAATCCCGCGCAGGGTACCTGCATGAATGAAATCAAGTACCTGTAGCCCTTCTTGTAGCTGCTTATGAAACTTCAAACCGTCAACCCTAACCCTAAACCCTAAACCCTAAACCCTAAACCCTAAACCCTAAACCCTCTGGAAGGATGTAAGCCCCCCCGCGGAGATGTGTGACGCGGCTAGAGTGGCCCTCGAGCACAGCCAGACACTCGCTGCTCACCAAGTCCTGCGCGCTTGCCGTTCAGGGGTATCAGGAGGGACCTGTGGAAGGGACCTGTGGAAGGGACCCTTAACCATATTCCCTGTATAACCCCCATGAAACCCCTGTATACCTTATATAGTCCCTATATATAGGTAGCCCCTGAATAAGCCCCAAGTATCCCCTCAGGTGGCTTAGAAGGGTCCCTCCTTTACTCCCTTGATGCATGCCAGCTTGCAGAATATGCAGGTGATGACCTCAAGGCTTGGTCTCATCAGGTCTGATGAGGGAGGATTCAACTTTTTGCATGTTGATCGTCTGTCCTTCGGGAAATGTATACCTTGAAGCCTGGCCTGTGGACAGCGTACCACACACACACACAAGTCCGGTGGTGGAAGCCTGAATCTATGCTGTGACACATGGCCGTGCGAGTAGAAGCCTAAACCCCAAACCCTTAACCTCACACCCTAAGCCCGAAACCCTAAAGCTATGCTGGAAGGTCCCAAATGCGGAGAGTGGTGTCGTCAGAGCACGTGATGCCCATCTGCTGCTCAAAGTCCTGCGGGGCTTAGTGTGCTTGGGGCGTTTAGGGCTGTGGGTCGGGATGTTCCCCCTTATACTAACGGTCCTGGGGTTTTTACTAGGCGGTACTATAATCCCTAGTGACTTAAGGCCTGTTCATCCCAAGCTGTGGGTTTAGGGCTTGGGGCTTCTAAGACTTTCAAGGCCTACTTGAGGGCTCACGGTACTTGTAGGTACGGGTTGAAGTAGGGTGACGGCATTTGCAAACCGAAGTGACGGACTTCTATGTCGCTCCTCACTGGTTTGGGAGCCCTTTAGGGTACAGGCACGGGCGCTTTAGGGTTAAGCCATCCCAAACCAAATCATGCTTCATGTTCCCTAGTCCATATGGCCGCATGAAAAGTATCTTTGGAATGGAGATCCGTACATCGAAACGGCCACATGTGAACCCTAAACATAACCCCTGAATGCTAAACCCTGAACCACCCTAAACCCTAAGCCCTAAACCTAAACCCTTAATCCTAAAAAGGTAGCCAGAAGTGGTCCGCCACGACGTCCCTCACGGCCAGGGTGTGGCCCTGGAGCACACCCAAGCAAATGTTGTCGCGCACATCCCACACCTTGGGTGGGTTTAGGGTTTAGGGTTTGGGGTTTGGGGTTTGGGGTTTGGGGTTTGGGGTTTGGGGTTTGGGGTTTGGGGTTTGGGGTTTGGGGTTTGGGGTTTAGGGTTTAGGGTTTAGGGTTCGGGGTGTGGGGTGTTGGGTTTAGAGGCGCAATGAGGGTGCAAGGTATCTGTTGTCGCTCAGATCTAAGATGGTCTCGAGCACTCCGAGGTTGAATCGAAACTTCAGGCGTCAACTGCTCCAGCTTTCAGGTCCTACTGTAGGAGCCTGAATAATTAGAATGGGGTTTTGGGAGGTCACTATAGTGGAATTATAAAGGGACTATAAGGGAACATTTTTCGTAACTATTCCGACCCCTATATTACTCCGGGTCCTAGCCCTACATCCTTGACCCTAAACCCTAAACCCCCCCAAAAGTATTCCAGGAGAGGTGCACGGGCTGTCTCGTCATCAGAAGCGCTGACGGCTAAGCCCTGGCATCAGGCGGAGGATTGAGCGCAAATGCAAAGAGCACACCTCGCACTAATTAGTGGAGGTAACGGCACTTGAAATTTAGAATGGAGTTTAGGGTTTAGGATTTAGGGGGCCTTATCATAATTCGAAGAGGGTTTTGGGCTTTTCTTCTAGTAAAATCTCAAAGGGGCCATCAGGGAATACTATTCGTAATTATGCCTACCCGAAGATTAAGCTTGTGTTGCTTCCTTGGGGTCTTTAAGGCCCAAGGGGCTTGGCATGACCCGTTGATCGGCAATGTGGTTCGCACAAGCAGATGGGCATAATGAATGAGCCTGAATAATTACCAATATGGGGGTTTCCGAAATTACGGGTGCCTTATTGGGGTCCTTCTTATACAGGGCTCCTACTATTTGGGGGTCTATATTGGGGGTCCCCTATTTCCCCCAATTTTCGTAAACCCATCCATTTGAGTCCGGTTATTGCGCTTGTATAGCTGTAGTTTGAACAGCTGCGAAATATCCGTTCCAGGTTCAATCGGATTACACCCGAGTAACTCGTTCCTTCTGGGGTTCTTGCCATGAGATCCAGGGCAACGCGCCTTCTTCACGTCCAGTGCCAGGGCGTTGATCTGCCAGTCAGTGCAAGTCTCTCTGCCTAATTGAATTCTCATACTGCCGATGGTGACGCTGATGTTCAGCGTCTATGTCAGAATCAGAGCAAAGTAACAACTTTAAAACACATAACCCAAGCAACGCCAGTATCAACACTAACAGGCAAACATTCGTTGCTCAAATGCTAAGAAGACTCTAATTTTCACGAGCTCTGTGTGGGAGAGGGTTGTTTGGTGGTGAAAATCCAAATTACGGTTTAGCGTGGGTTTGGAGTTTGCAGTTCATCTAGGGTTGGAACCATGGGCCCTAGCATGGTCCCTTACCCTTGTTTAAAGGGGTTTGAAGGGATCTGAAGTCTGGGCCCTTATTATGTATAGTGTATCTAAGGGTGATATTCCAGGGGACCCAGTTGAGGGCCCATAATTCGGATCCCCTAAGTTCAGGGTTTGGAGTTTAGGGTTTAGGGTTTGGGTTTAGAGTTTAGGGGTGTTTTAGGGTTCAGAGGACCCTGAAGCTCCGACAACAACGCGCGCAGGGGCAGCTCTTGCCAGGTTGGCCCTTAGAAGCTCTGAAAGATACTTCCTAAGTATGATCCTCTTAAACCCAATTAGGGAATATGAAAATATCCCTGTGAAAACCTATTCCTAAGTATAATTGATCCTCTTAGACCCAATTAGGGAAAGCAAAAATTTGGGTCTGTCTAGAACCCTAAGCCCGAAAACTCTAAACTCGAAACCCTAAACCCAAATCCTAAACCCTAGCTTGCAACCACCCCTCCCGCCTTGTCCTCGTGCCCTTCCAGCTTGGCAATGGAGGCGCGCGTTTTCTGCAACGAGTCTGGGGTTTAGGGTATTTACGGTTCAGGGTTTATCAATAAATAAGAAAAATAAATATAAATATAAATAAATATATAAATATAAATATAAATATAAATACAAATGTAATTATATATATATATATATATAAACCAAATCTTCTGTTTATTTACGAGAGGGTTTAGGGATAAAGGATTGGGGTTCAGGGTTAGGGTTTAAGGCTTTAGGGTTTAGGCTTTAAAGAGTTTAGGCGTTGCGGGGTTAGGGTTTAAAGATTTAGGGTTTGTGGTTTAGGGGCTAGAGTTTGGGGTTTGCGGGTTGGGGGCTTAAGAGTCCAGTTAGGGGTTTGCAGGGCTTGGAGTTAAGGCCTCGGCAAATTCGTGGGCTTGGACAAGGAAGAGTCGAAGACACATTCAACATACCCCCTTGGGCATACCCTCAAAAGAAATTCAGGAGTATGGTAAAATCCGCCCTTATATTCGCCTTTTATAGAGAGAGAGGCGTGCTGTTGCATCTGCGGGGCTATGGTGTGCGGCAATGCGAATCAGCCCTCGCAAGTGAGGTTCCTTTCGGGCGCCCTCAAAACTATAAACCCTGTAGCTTCTCTGAGCAACCGAGGGCCCAATCTAAACCCTAGACCCAAAACAACCTGAAACCTTCCCCGCCCCCCGCACCCCTTCCCCCGCAACCAAACCCTAAAAACAACCCCCAAACCCTAAACCCTAAACCCTAAACCCTAAACCCTAAACCCTAAACCCTAAACCCTAAACCCTACATCGGGAGCCCGCGCCAGGTGCCAGAAGTGCAGGGATCCGTCGGCGGCTCCGCTCAGGACGCGATTCTTGTTGAAGTCCACGGCCTGGCCACACTGGGCCTTTAAGGATTTTAGGGTTTAGGGTTTAGGGTTAAGGATTAGGGTTTAGGGTTTAGGGTTTAGGGTTTAGGGTTAAGGATAAGGGTTTAGGGTTTAGGGTCTAGGGTTTAGGGGTTGTTGCTAGGATTTGGGCTTTAGGGTTTAGGGTCTAGGTTGTTCCCCTGATACTAGCTGTCCTTAACATCCCAAATTTTCGGGTTCAGGAGTTTTTGGAACTTAGGGCTTTTGGAGCCTTGGGAGTTTAGGAGTTGTTGGAATTCAGGAGTTTTTGGAACTTAGGGCTGAAGGAGCTTACGAGTTTTTTGCAGTTCAGGGCTGAGGGTTTAGGAGCTTTGGGAGTTAAGGGTTTTGGGGTCTATAAGGGTTCAGGTACTCTTTCAGCTTCTTTGGGTCTAGAGTATCAATTCCATAGTGTCTTAGGGTTTGGTAGCCCCAAAAGGGGACCCTGATTTAGTGAATCCCCCTCAACCCTCAACCCTCAACCCTCAACCCTCAACCCTCAACCCTCAACCCTAAACCCTAAACCCTAAACCCTAAACCCCAAACCCTAAACCCGTCAAAAGGCCCACACGCCGTGAAAACACAGCAAGGTGCGCCAAAGCAGAGATGCTGTCGCCATGCTTGTCGTAGGTACCTTCGCAGCTGTGCGAACTTGGAGTTCGAGGGTTTAGGATGGCTTTGGGGTTTAGGGTTTAGGGTTTAGGGTTTAGGGTTTAGGGTTTAGGGTTTAGGGTTTAGGGTTTAGGGTTTAGGGTTTAGGGCTAGGGTTTAGGGACACCCACCCCACCCGCATCCCTCATCCTTGCGCAACTGCTCCTCTGCCCTTTGGTTCCCAAATCTCACTACAAGCCCTCAACTCTGAAAGCCTGTACTCCCCAAACGCTAAACCCTAAACCCAAGACCTTATAAACCCTAAACCCTAAACCCTAAACCCTAAATCCCCCTGAACCCTTGAGTCCCTACACTTCCCCAGTCTCGAGCGGAGCCTACGCAGGTCAGCTCGGGCACCGTGACGTCCCAGACCTGGGTCGCGTGATGACTGGGAACAAGGTGCCCCGGCTAAGGTAAACCCTAAACCCTAAACCCTAAACCCTAAACCCTAAACCCTAAACCCTCCCAGAATGAGCCGAAGGGGTTAGGGTTTAGGGTTAGGTTTTAGGGTTTAGGGTAGTTACACGGTCCCTGAATATGGTCCCTTTCCTTCTTCAAAGGCTTCTGAAGTATGCTAAATTAGGGTCCCGGGGTCCGATGTATAGCACGACAGCCTTGAAAGAAGGTCCCAACAAGGGACCCTAGATTAGAGAATATAGGTTTTAGGGGTCTGAGCTCTGAGCTCTGAATCTGTTTCTACAAGAAAAATTACATTCGTCTCTTCAACTGAGATGTAAATGTTTCCCAATCCAACAGTTCAGGCGAACCAGGCTGTACCACATTCTGGGGCTGCAGCTCGCACTCTGCCGTCTTCGGCAGCAGTCACCGCAAAACCGATGACCACGTCTATGAAGACTTTGTAGATGCGGGCTGACAGCCAGGACAGGCTTGTAGGGCCCAGGTTCGGCAGCCACTTGGGTTTAGGGCTTAGGAGTTTGGAGTTTAGGGCTTAGGGTTTCGGAGGTTCATCGGATATCCAAGAAGGGCTCACGTGTGGCTTTTGCATAGAAGGGCTGAGAAGGAAACCCTAAACTATGGTGAGCTGCTTCACGGAGGGGAGGGGAGGCCGGGTTTAGGCGTTGAAGAGGCCCCAGAAACCCCTATAAACCCTGTAAACCAATGCAAGCCCGTTGAACGCCATGAACCACAGGAACCTTTTTGTTTGTAATCCTACAAGCTCTAAGCTTGAGACATTCTATTCCTGCAGAACGATGCATTCTCAAAATGAATTGATTTCAGATTTATTTTCGAAAACAATTCGAATTGAATTTACGAACCTAAGAATTCAGCTATCCGAATTTACGAAATAGTTTCGACAATTTTTGAGACTGGGAATTCAATTTTGTAAATTTCCGAAAAATTTTCGACAATATCCTCACAAGCGAGTCCAAGCGTGGTTACACTGTTGGAGAATTCGAAGCCAATTTCTCTTTTCAAATAGTTAGTTAATCAATTACTTAGTTCAGCATTGTTAAGTAAATTGCCGGCTGATTCAGAAAGCTTCATGCTAGAGCTGCTAGCTGCTAACTGCTGAGAGGACTCTAGAATGTGAATCAAAAGCCTTAACGAAATCCAGAGCCTGCTTCATTTATATAAGTTGCCTGGACCTCTAGACTCTGGGCCCGACTCTAGGCCCTACTGAGTCAGGACGTAGCCATCTAGTCAATCATTTTTTGGCCACGACCCATTTTGCCCATTTTGCCGGCCAAAACTTGGAAATTGCGAACCTCTACCTACCCTCTTTTGAAATTTGCATTTCCCTCTCACTTTAGAGGTTACTTGGGCAGAGTGCCTGTGTTGCGCAATATCTTCCTGAGAACGGTTTCAACGCCCACGAATGCCGCGAATGCTTGTTCGAAACCTGTCAGATGAGCAGCGTTGCTGAGCGACTGACTATTGGGTTCCTGGCAAACTCGTAACCAAAACAAATGGAACATGCACCGATTTGCACACAACCTATCACCATATCTGCGTATATCTATTTGCTTATATGTCGATCGACCTATCTATATCATATGTGTATACACACATGTTAAGATTGAATATAGAACGTCTCGGGTCTTCATAAGTACAAGAGGTGCAGGGCCGGTACAAGAGGTACAGGGCCGGCCAGGTAGAGACTCGGATGTTGCCACGCAACTGTCTAGTCTATGGTGTGGCTCATTCGGGGAGGTCTCGCCTGGGCCGTCGTAAAAAATTCGTAAATGGGGCAACGTCACGCTTCGGCATTCGTATTTTTTTGTAAATGGCTCCAGGCCAGGCCTCGCAGCCATAAAGAAATCAAAAAAAATCATAAATTTTTGGATTTTCGCAGCCGGTTGTGGAGCTTCCGCCTCGAAAGTATTTCGTAGTCCAAATCGTAAAAAAACCGTAAATTTTTCGAAAAATTACGATGTTTTTACGATTTTTTCCGAAAACAATACGAAACCATGTGGTGCAAGTGGGCTCCGGAAAAACAGATACGAAATGAATACGATTTCAATTTCGATTAATTTACGAAAAAACTATGACCCTGGCAAGGGTGGCAACCTGGACCTGTGTCATGCTTTATGGTTTCCAATAATGGGGCCCCTTTGGGCTATGTCAGGCTTCTGGTTTTCCTTAGCTGGGCCTCTTTCGGGCCTGCCTGGCAATTGGCTGCTGTTAGGCAGGCCACAACTCACCTTGTCAAGCTTAGGGGTTTTATCGGATGAGTTCAATCCAAGAAATATGTAAGTATGTGGCCTGAAGCACTCCCCCTGAACTGGAAAGTTGAACGTCCAAGTGGCCCAAAACCCGGAAGCTCAAGTGTTGGTAGAGTCTAGGTCTCTAGGTTGAGATCGTTGGGGTCTATGGCTCAAGTCCTGGCTCAAACTAGGCCGGAACTCCTTAGGACTCTGTGAGTGGTAGCGGTGCGATTATTTCCGGGGGTGCTCCTGAGTGTGGCCGAGCGCAGACAGCCGAGGCCCCGCTAATCATTTTTGTTTGTTGTTTTTCCAGGAGCATCAGCTCCCCAGCCCCGCTCCCTAAACCCCTGTCCGACCACAGGCCGACGGATTTAACGATGGTTGGCGCTCAAAGCCGACAACTAACGCAAAGAATGGCCTGCTATGTTCGATATCTAAAACCGATAGACTGGCAGCCCGAGGAATAGTACGCGCGAAAAGCGATTCAAGAACATTTCCACCGACATTTTCGTCTCCCCGTCAAGAGCCTCCGAGTTCCGAGTGGTTGCCAGCTACAAAAGCTATTCCGCAATTGGTATGTAGGCCTCAGAAAGTGTTCCCCAGGAACCTACGCGTTCTAATTGCCGAAACCAAACCTGCCAAGCCGAAGCTAATGCAAAGCTGAAGGTTTCCAGCCAGGCAATTTCTAGAGTCGGCTAGAACCATGAAAGATTCCCAATGCTCTTCCTATGCCTCAGCATGGAAACATCATATCTGAGGCTAAAACTGGAAGAATGATATTTGAAAAACCAGAAAGGAAAATCACAAACAAATCAAAACCCTGAAAAAAAGCCATAAAATAGTCATAAATTTGAATCGTGTTTTTTCGAAAATAAAGTGTAAAAAAATAAAAACTTGATTTTTGGGTTCTGCAGGATATAGAATGTCTCAACTCTAAGCCCTAAGCCCTAAGCCCTAAGCCCTAAGCCCTAAGCCCTAAGCCCTAAGCCCTAAGCCCTAAGCCCTAAGCCCTAAGCCCTAAGCCCTAAGCCCTAAGCCACCGACTTGAGCAAGCTGGCTGGACCTCCTGGGTGTGCGTCCACTGCGCTGATGAGCGCGAGCTTCTTGGTGTCCTTCCCATGAACCCGGTCTCGACTGGGCCTAAACCCTAAGCCCTAAGCCCTAAGCCTTAAGCCCTAAGCCCTAAACCCTAATCCTAAACCCTACACTCAACTAGGATGTCCCTCAAAAACCCCTGAAAAACGTTCCTCAATATGGTCCTCTTATACCCAAGAAGGGAGAATACAAAATGTCCCAAGGGCCTAGCTAATAAGCCCTACGAAGACCGTCACGTAACACGGCGACGCCGCTGCCTAAGACCTAAATCCAAACGCCCTAAGCCGAGAAGCCCTAGATACACCCCAAAGCCCAACATTCTGTCACAGAAGGGGGTCCGAAGAACCCCGCTACTCCCTAAGCCCGGCACGCCCCTCATACAAAATTCTCCAATTCGGGAACTAAACTCTGAGCTCCGAAACCCTGAAACCCTAAACCCAGGAACCCTGAGATTTTGCTGCTCAGGGCATGTTTACCGTTTCGGCACGTAGTTGAGGCTTTAGGGTTAGGACGGTTATCATACAGGTGCCCTCTTTCTGTTTCAGAAGGTTTGTGATGGATTCTGAGGGGATTGGGGTTGGGGGACACCCGCCCACAAAATGCTTAGCAAAGGGTAGATGAGGGGTTGTGCTAGGACGCAGGGTTGGTTTCCAGGCGATATTCCTGATAGGCAAGTCCGCAAGCAGGATACTCCAGACATCACGAAACGAGAACGGTTGCCACGCCAAGCCCAAGCTCTTCAGATCCTTCAAATCAGCCTCCAAAACATCCCCGTCAGAATCCCCGAACCCTAAACCCTAAACCCTAAACCCTACAGCTTAAACCCTGTTGGGGGAAGGGTCCCAAAGTAGGAGCTTTCCCTGCGCTGTGCCGCTGACAGCACCTAGTTCAGGGATTCGGGTTTGGACTTGGGGTTTAGGGATGTCGGGTTTAGGGATTAAGGACTTAGTTTAGGGATTTAGGGTTTAGGGATTTAGAGTTTGGGGATTTAGGGTTGCTGTTTAGGGATTAAGGGCAGGTTTGTATGGACAAACGGACAAGCTTTGGGGTTTGAGTGGCTTGAGAGCGCCTTCTTCTACGTTACCGATATCATCCACAAGTTGTGGTGTTTATGGGCTGGTTTAGCTTGGGCTTGTGAGAGATCATGAGGCATGGCCTGAGTCTCCAGAAAATGGTGAACATCGCTGCGCCCCAACGTCCGTGCTAGGGGTTCCAGACCCAGTCATACCTCAAGCCCTCAAGCCCTCAAACCCTGTAAACCCTGCAAACTCTGTAAACCCTGTCAACCCTGTAAACCCCGTAAACTCCATAAACCCTAGAGTAGATCATAAAACCCCCGGAACCCTATTGAACCCTAAACCCTAAAATGCCCTAAACCCTCTGGCCTATGAACCCTAAACCCTGTGAACCCCAAACCCTGAACCCTCTACCCCCTGAAGCTTCTATCAACATTTTGGGGCATCAGCGCTTTAGGCTTAGTTGGCCCCTTTTGAACTCTGAGAGTTCCTTTTTTGGCAGTTTAGGGTTTAGGGTTATTTAGGGCTTAGGGTTGAGGGTCTTTGGGTGTTTAGGGGTTTAGGGAGGACCCGATAATTCTCAAGCTGGCTCAGTGACTCTGGTAGAGATACCTTGTATGCAGGTTGCCCAATTACCCTACATGTGTTTCCTAGTCATAGCCGACAAGAAAGGTGAGGGCTTTAAATCCCACAGTAGTGATCAAGGGAACCCCGCGCAACCAAACACCCCGCCCCCTATGTCCCAACTGCAAAACGAAGGCCATACGTCTTGAACCCTTACGCGCGAAACCCGACCCTAGACCCTAAACCCTAAACCCCAAACCCTAAACCCTAAACCCTCAACCCCAAACCCTAAACCCTAAACCCTTAAGAAGGTTTAGGGCCCTGGGGTGCCCCCTGAGAAGTGCACGCTGGCTCTCCCAGTCTGCGGCTATGCAGATTTGCTGGCCTGAGAGGTTCGGGGTTGCAATCGAGGGATTCGGATTCGGGATTCGAGTTTGGGATTTCTAGGGCTTAGGTCCTGGGATGTTCCCCCTTATCCGCCGACCCCAGCAACAGCGGGGCGGCGTCAGTGAAGACCCTCCCTGCCCTCACCGCAACCTCTTCCCTCTTCACCTCCCTACCCCTTCCCCATCCCCTCCACCCACCCTTGCCCGCCCCCCCTCCCACCACCCTTCCCCTTCCCACCCTTCCCCCCACTCCCACCACCAACCCCTTTCCCCGCTCCCCACCACCCTTCCCCTTCCCAACGATTCCACTCCATCTTCCTCCCCTACCCCTTCCCAACCATTCTACTCCATCCTCCTCCCCTACCCCCTGCCCTAACCGCAACCTCTTCCCCCTTCCCCTGAAGAGGTTGCGGTCAGGGCAGGGAGGAGGATGGAGTGGAATGGTTGGGAAGGGGAAGGGTAGTGGGAGGCGCAGGGAAGGGGTTGGTGGTGGGAGTGGGGGGGGTAGTGGGAGGGGATGGAGCGGAATGGTTGGGGGGGCAGGGGAGAGCGCCCTTGAAAAGTCAGATATTTGATTGAGTCTAGAGAGGGGAGGAGGATGGACTGGAATGGAAGGGGAAGGGTAGTGGGAGGGCAGGGAAGGGTTGGTGGTGGGAGTGGGGGGGGGTGGGGGGGGTCCTTTAAAGTCAGTCATCTGATCGAGTCTAGAGAGGGGAGGGAGGATGGAGTGGGAAATCACCAACCCCCCCCCCCCACCCCCCCCCCCCCCCTCCCAACCCCCCTCCCACCCCCATTTCCACTCCATCCTCCTCCCTCTCTCAGACTTGATCAGATGACTTTAAAGACCCCCCCCCACCCCCCCCCACTCCCACCACCAACCCTTCCCTCCCACTACCCTTCCCCTTCCATTCCAGTCCATCCTCCTCCCCTCTCTAGACTCAATCAAATATCTGACTTTTCAAGGGCGCCCTCCCCTGCCCCCCCAACCATTCCGCTCCATCCCCTCCCACTACCCCCCCACTCCCACCACCAACCCCTTCCCTGCGCCTCCCACTACCCTTCCCCTCTGACTGGCCCCACCCCCCCCACCCCCCACCCCGCCTTTTTTGACTTAGCCTTCCCCTTCCCAACCATTCCACTCCATCCTCCTCCCCTACCCCTTCCCAACCATTCCACTCCATCCTCCTCCCCTACCCCCTGCCCTCACCGCAACCTCTTCCCCCTTCCCCTTCTCTACCTTTTTTGACTTGGCCTTGCCTTCTGCCCCTAACCTCCCACCCTCCCCTCTCTAGACTCGATCAGATGACTGACTTTAAAGGACCCCCCCACCCCCCCCACTCCCACCACCAACCCTTCCCTGCCCTCCCACTACCCTTCCCCTTCCATTCCAGTCCATCCTCCTCCCCTCTCTAGACTCAATCAAATAACTGACTTTTCAAGGCCGCCCTCCCCTGCCCCCCCAACCATTCTGCTCCATCCCCTCCCACTACCCCCCCCACTCCCACCACCAACCCCTTCCCTGCCCCTCCCACTACAACCATTCCACTCCATCCTCCCCTCTCTAGAATGGATCAGATGACTGACTCAGTGCATGCCCGCCCGCTCCGCTTGTTCCGCCCTTCCCTGCCACCCCACCCCCACCCTGCCCCCCACCCACCCCCCCCCCCACCCCCCCCACCCCACCTTTTTTGACTTAGCTTCCCCTTCCCAACGATTCCACTCCATCCTCCTCCCCTACCCCTTCCCAACCATTCTACTCCATCCTCCTCCCCTACCCCCCGCCCTCGCAACCTCTTCCCCCTTCCCCTTCTCTACCTGACCTTGCTTTCTGCCCCTAACCTCCCACCACCAACCCCTGCCCCCCCAAACCATTCCACTCCATCCCCTCCCACTACCCCCCCCTCCCACGCCCACCACCAACCCCTTCCCTGCCCCTCCCACTACCCTTCCGCACCCCCCACCCCCGCCCCCTCCCAACCTCCCGGCCCCTCCCACCCCCATTTCCACTCCATCCTCCTCCCCTCTCTAGACTCAATCACAGGACTGACTTTAAAGGACCCCCCCCACCCCACCCCACCCCCACCACCAACCCTTCTTCCCAACCATCTTCATGCTTGCTTCGCCCCGCTTGCGTCCGATTTCCGCTTGCCCCCCCTCCCCCCCCCCTTCCCCCCCCTCCACCCCCCCCCCCCACCCCACCCTGCCCCCCCCTCCCACCGCACCCCACCCCACCCCCCTCACCCCCCTACAGCCCCCCCTCACCCCCAACCCAACCCGCCCCACCCCACTCCCCCACAACCCCCCCCCCCCCAACCCCCACCCCCCCCCTAGTCCCATCCCCTCTCTAGACTTGAATCAGATGACTGACTTTAAAGTGCTCATGTTCCCTTCCACCTAACCCTCACCCCCCCCCACCCCGCCCCCCCCCGCCCCCCCCAAACCCTCCACTCCTCACCTCCCCACCCTCCGCCCCACCCCCGCCCCCACCACAACCCCCCCCCCCCCCACTCCCACCACCAGCCCTTCCCCTTCCCAACCACCCTCCTCCCTTCTCTACACCATCCCCACTCCCACACCTACCCCTTCCCAACCAGTCCACTCCATCCTCCTCCCCTACCCCCTGCCCTCACCGCAACCTCTTCCCCCTTCCCCTTCTCTACCTTGCCTTCTGCCCCTAACCTCCCACCACCAACCCTTTCCCCTGCCCCCCCAACCATTCCACTCCATCCCCTCCCACTACCCCCCCCTCCCACGCCCACCACCAACCCCACCTTTTTTGCCCCCTCCCACTACCCCCCCCACTCCCACCACCAACCCCTTCCCTGCCCCTCCCACTACCCTTCCCCTTCCCAACCATTCCACTCCATCCTCCTCCCCTCTCTAGACTGCATCAGATGACTGACCCTCCCGCTCCTGCTCCCCCTTCCCTGCCGACCCCACCCCGACCCCACGCCCCCCCACCCCCCCCCACCCAACCCCCCCCCCCCCCCCCCCACCCACCCCCCCCCCCACCCCCCCCAACCACACCTTTTTTGACTTATTCCCCTTCCCAACCATTCCACTCCATCCTCCTCCCCTACCCCTTCCCAACCATTCCACTCCATCCTCCTCCTCTACCCTCTGCCCTCACCGCAACCTACCTTTTTTGACTTGGCCTTGCTTTCCCCTGCCCCTCCTACGCCCACCACCAACCTCTTCCCTGCCCCTCCCACCACCGCACCCCCCCCCCCACCCCCCTGCCCCCCCTAGCGGGCGGGCAAGTCAGTCATCTGATCAAGTCTCCAGAGGTTTGGGGGGGGGGGGGGGGGGGGGGGGGGGTGGTGGTGTGTGTCAGGGGGTGGTGTGTGTGGTGGGAGGGGGTGTGTGTGTGGAGTGGGAGGTTGGGATGGGGGGTGGGGGGGGGGGTGGGGGGAGGGTGGGGGGAGGGAAGATGCGACGCAAGCGGTTGGGAGGGAAGGGTATTGGGGAAGGGAGTGGGGGGGGTAGTGGGGGGGGAGCGGAATGGGGGGGGCAGAAGGCAAGGCGAAGTCAAAAAAGGTGGGGTGGTGGGCACTGGAACCCTTAAAGTCAGTCTGATCCAATCTAGAGAGGGGAGGAGGATGGAGTGGAATGGTTGGGAAGGGGAAGGGTAGTGGGAAGGGCAGGGTTGGTGGTGGGAGTGGGGGGGGTAGTGGGAGGGGATGGAGCGGAATGGTTGGGGGGGCAGGGGAGGGCGCCCTTGCTGGAATGGAAGGGGAAGGGTAGTGAGAGGGCAGGGAAGGGTTGGTGGTGGGGAGGTCCTTTAAAGTCAGTCATCTGATTGTGTCTAGAGAGGGGAGGAGGATGGAGTGGAAATGGGGGCGGGGTTGGGAGGGGGGGGGGGGGGGGGGGGGGGGGTGCGGAAGGGTAGGGAGGGCAGGGAAGAGGTTGGTGGTGGGCGTGGAGGGGGGGGTAGTGGGGAGGGGATGGAGTGGAATGGTTGGGGGGGCAGGGGAAGGGGTTGGTGGTGGGAGGTTAGGGGCAGAAGCAAGGAGTCAAAAAGGTAGAGAAGGGGAGGGGGAAGGATGGAGTGGAATGGTTGGGAAGGGGAAGGCTAAGAAAAAAAAGGTGGGTGGGGGGGGGGGGGGGGTGGGGGGGTGGGGGGGGGGGTCGGGCTGGGGGTGGGGTGGCAGGGAAGGAGCGGGCGGGCATGCACATTCCAGAGCGGAGGATGGAGTGGAATGGGTGGGAGTGGGGGGGGGTAGTGGGAGGGGATGGAGCGGAATGGTTGGGGGGGGGGAAGGCGCTCTTGAAAAGTCAGTTATCTGATTGAGTCTAGATAGGGGAGGAGGATGGACTGGAATGGAAGGGGAAGGGTAGTGGGAGGGGCAGGGAAGGGTTGGTGGTGGGAGTGGGGGGGCGTGGGGGGGGTCCTTTAAAGTCAATCATCTGAGCGAGTCTAGACAGGGGAGGAGGATGGAGTGGAATAGTTGGGAGGGGGAAGGGTAGTGGAAGGGGCAGGGAAGGGGTTGGTGGTAGGAGTGGGGGGGGGGGTCGTGAGAGCGCAGAGAAGGGGTTGGTGGTGGGAGTGGGGGTGAGGGAAGGGGTGGAGGAGATGAGATGAGGCAGCTGGAGAAGGGTGGGCGGGCATGCGCTGGCACCCTTTGAAAGGGGACGGAAGGGCGGAGCCAGCAGGGAAGGGTTGGTGGTGGGGGTGGGAGGGTGGGGTGGGGGGGGGGTGGGGGGGGAAGGGTGGGGGGGTGGGGGGGGGGGGAAGAGCGACACAAGCGGGGCGAAGCAAGCGGAACTGGAGCCCTTTAAAGTCAGTCATCTGATCGAGTGTAGAGAGGGGAGGAGGATGGAGTGGAATGGTTGGGAAGGGGAAGGGTAGTGGGAGGGCAGGGAAGGGGTTGGTGGTGGGAGTGGGGGGGGTAGTGGGAGGGGATGGAGCGGAATGCCTCCCCCACCCTCACCTCCCCACACCACCCCGCCCCCCCCCCACCCCCCTCCACTCCACCCACCCTCCCACCACCCCCTCCATCCTCCTCCCCTGAATTTAGGGTAAATCCCCCCCCCAAACACCCGCAAACCCCACTAAACCCCCCCAAAGGCCCTAAGCCCCTAAAATCCAGGCGGCAGGTGCGATGCCGGCGCTGGTGAGGATGCTCGAGTCGGAGGCAGGACGTGTGGAGGTTGATTTAAAGGGTTTAGGGTTTAAAGAGTTTAGGGTTTGGGGTTTAAAGTACCCAGTGTTATTTAAAGCACAGGTATTGTGATCAACTACCATGCAGGCTTTAGTTGAGGGGTTTTAGAGTTTAGGGTTGAAGGTTTAGGGTTTAGGGTTTAGGGTTCAAGGTTGACAGTTTAAGGTTGAGTGTTTATTCAGGGTTGAGGTTTCGAAGACCATACACATGCGTTCAATAGTCTCCATACATGTACAATGTAGCACATATACATAGTAGATATGCATACGTAACCTCCACCCTGACACTGAAAAATCTTCACTGGCGGACATTGCCTCGCTGCGAATGCTAGCGGGGCCCCGAGCCCACGGACCCAGCATTTACAGCGAGGCAATAACGACCAGTGCCCTGAATATCAAAAAAACCCTGAACTGCCGCAACCCCCCCCATGTTCAGGGTTTCGGGTTTACGGTTTACGGTTTAGGGTTTGATTTCCGGTTTCGGGTTTAGGGTTTCGGGTTTCGGGTTTGGGGTTTGGGGTTTAGGGTTTAGAGTTGGGGGTCGGCGGCACTGGCGGTAGCCATTAAATCGGGCAGCGCGAGGTCCCCAAAGGACCGAGCAAATGCGGACCTTTTAGCCCGGGTCGTCCCGGGAATAGCCTTGCTGGCCTCTGGCCTTCTGCGAAGCAGAATTAGGCCGGACGCCAGTGCCGCCGACCCCCGCGTGCCGCCGGTGAACGGTTTTTTTTTCGTGGTTTTTTGCGTCGCCACGGAGGCCCCCAGAGGGCGCGCATCATGAGCATCAGCGGGTCCAGCCCGGGACCCCCAGGCGCGCATCAGGAGCATCAGCGGCTCCCGGGGCGGGACCGCGGGGGGGCATCAGGAGCATGATGCCCCCCAAAGGGCGGGCATAAGCGACGTGTCTAAGCCCGGGGCTAGGAAAAAGGGAGTTTAGGGGCCTTATAAAGTGCTTAGAAACGTTAAGGGAGTCTCGGAGCCTCAAACGCTTAGAGATTTGAAGGGGGTTTAGGGGCCTGAAAATGCTTAGAAACTTAACGCTTAGAGATTTTAAGGGAGTTTAGGGGCCTCAACATGCTTAGAAACTGCTCGCCCCGGGCTTCTGCGTGCGCTGCCCGCCCATGGGCGCAGCCCCTTAAAATACTAAAAGTCCTTTTAAGAGGGATGAGGGATTCGGGATTCTCGGGATTCGAGTTTTGGGAATTCTAGGGCTTAGGTCTTGGGATGCTATCCCTTCCACTAAAAGTCCTATTAAGAGGGATAATAGTGCCCCCAAAAAGGATCGCTATTAAGGGCTATTAGTATGAGGCCGTTTGAGAGGGATAATAGTACCTCCGATTAGAATGCCTATGAAGGGCTGTTCGTATCAGGGGAGAACATCCCAAGGCTTGGGTCTTTATTAAGGCCTTAACAAAGATACGGGGCCCCGGCGTTGATTGGAATGTGTATCTTGGGCAGTGTCTTTGTGTAGGGTTTAAGGTTTCGGGTTCAGGGTTTCGGGTTTTCTAAAGCTATAAACCCCCAAACCCTAAACCCTAAACCCTAAACCCTAAACCCTAAACCCTAAACCCTAAACCCTAAACCCTAAACCCTAAACCCCTCCCATTGCCAGGCCTTGGAGAGCTACGCAGGGGTGTTTGGGCTGAGGGGCCCAGTCTTCGAGGAAGACATCGGCTGACTCCACAGCTGCCAAGGGCTTAGGGGTGAAGGGGGTTTAGGGTTTAGGGTTTAGGGTTTAGGGTTTCGGGTTTCGGGTTTAGGGTTTAGGGGTTCGGAAGTTTAGGGTTTAGGGGATTCTGAGACTGCTGCCGAACTTTCCAGAGAGCCACTGCTCCTTGCACTCGTACCGGTCTAAGTTCCAGAGGACCATGGTGCCTCCAGCACATGTTCGGGTTTAGGGTTGAGGGTTTAGGGTTTAGGGTTTAGGGCTTAGGGTTTAAGGTTTGGGGTTCAGGGTGCTTCTGTTTCAGGGGTTCTTTCCTGTGTTTCTTACCGGCTTGCATGAGGGTGTAGCAGCTCTCACACAGCTCCAGATGAAAAGGAGTGAAGGTAGGGGCCCCAGCCGTCATCCGCACCAGTGATCCCCATGAGCTCCTCTCCAGGGCACTCAAAAGCTGTCCCAGGCTCGGGTTTAGGGTTTAGGGTTTAGGGTTTGGGGATTCGGATGGCATTGGTGGCACGGATGTTCTGTGCACATAGGCCTCAAAGTCCTTCAACATTTGTAGTAACGCAAAACCTTCAAACCTTCTAAACGCATGTGAAGCAAGGTTCATATTCCTTGTATCCCCCAAAAGAACACAAGTTGGATACACTCACCAATACTAAAAGGAGCCTTATATACACTCACGAATAACAGAAATATGAACCCTGCTTCATGTGCGCTTTGGTGTCAATGCAGCCGCCTGGCTGCCCTCCCCACTCACCGTCCTTCCAGTCTATGACTGCACAGCGCACAGCTCCTTCATGCAGACCTCCGGCAGAATCCCCGGTAGGGGGTAGGGGGTAGGGTTTAGGGTTTAGAGTTTAAGGTGTGCGAAGTGTCCAAACCAATGAAAACTTGCGCAACCCGTTCCAGTAACTAGCTCAGGCCACACGAGGAGAAAGAAGTTGTATATTTACAGTTGAAGGTTGTAATGTTGCACCAGAAGTAACAGTATCCCTGTCAACGGGGAACTCAAGGTAGCTAGCCAATCGTTCCGAGCCACTCCCGACGTTAACTATCGGAAGGATCCCCAGAGTTGCTATCTCCAGGGGGTGGTAACCTATCGCTCTAGATGTATCCACTAGCCGTCCGGCTGCGTGTTGTACACCTATCCCGATATTCACCTGAACAGCCACCTGCCCTCAGTATCCTCCGGCCTCCGGCTATGAGTTGTAAAGAGAACAGATAACTATCCCGAGGTTAGGGAAAAGGATCTATTCCTCGTCAACGCCCGACCCTTTTGGCTCCTCTTTCCTCCGGATGCGAGTTGGCCAATCAGGTCCACGACGTACAGGAACACTATCCACGGGGGCGAAAACTGTACAATACAGGCTGCTACAGTACTAAGAAGGGCCCTTCTTGAGCAGCTTACAGCTGCGAACGGACACAAAGTCTCGTCCTCTATTCCGGCTTGTCCACGAAGAAGTCGGCTTCTATCCCAGGCCCAAACCCAAAAGTTACATGTACATCTAAACAGCACCCCATGGAATTGACCTGACCTCTTTGTGCTAAACACCCCCCGTTTTCGGGACGCACTCAGCGGTCAGAAAATCGATGAATTCGCGACTTCTATCCCGGTTAGCTTCAGGCAAAACAAGAACGCAGGAGGCATAGCCGACCTGATCGCCTGCCCCTTTAGGGCGCCCACCACCACCCGCGATTACGGCGATCACTCCAGCTATCCTCGGAAGCAACACCGCCATCCGCTAACCTCGACATTCATCGCAGTAGCACAAACCACCAGTCCGTGGCTCTTGGCTACACTTCGTGCCCTCACGTCTATTCCACGTAGTAAAATTGTCTATCCGTCGCATTCTTGGAAAATCAAGTGTCGCTTCTATCCATTTCATCACCCGGCTCAGTTCATCTTCTCCATAGCTATCCTGGGTAAGGCCTCACTCTTGATCAGTACTCCTCGATGTCAATGTAGTTCCCAAGCTTCTATCCCTTCACTCTTGTATGCGATCTTCTCCGTGGGGACTCACTGGTGATTAGCCATGCCCATTCTGTTCTTTTCTCCTCTTCTCGACTTTGTTTCCTGATCTCCTCATGTGAAGGTCTTATTGGTGGCGAGCCAGGCCTTCCCAGAAGCTTCCGCCGCAGGGTCTTATTGGTGGCTAGCCAAGCCCTGCACCAGAGACTCACGACAGCCGTTCACCCACTCATCTCATCCTGCGCCATCCATCCGCTCTATCCCCCCGCGTGCGTCACCAGCCATGGCCCGGGCACATGACTTTGCATGTCCCATTCTATCCCTCACGCCGAGCCATTGGTGACTAGGCAGCTTTGTGCTTTCGTCCTATCCCCGCTCGTCGCCATTTCATCATGCTTCATCTCATTGGCGATCACGTCGCGGTCTCCACATCAGCGGCCTTCCATGCTTTCCCTTTCCTTTCATAGGATCACCCGCAGATGCATCACTTGCATCGTCACCTGTCTCAACGCCCATGTTTGCCCGGTTGGTTGATGTCGTCTCAGTGCCTCTGAATTCCGGGTTGAGCGCTTCGCTCATCGCTGACTCGTCTTCTGTTTCGGGACCAGTGACGTGGCCACCTCTTTGTGCCCGAGTTCTCTCTAGCAAAGAGCTCTTTCCTCTTCCTCTATCCGCCATCTTCGTCCCTTCCGCAAACCTGGGTACAGCTGGCATCCATCCGTATCTGCCTCCTCGATCATCGGCTCTATCCCTATCCCGCCCTTTTCCCCATCCGCGTGATGAGCTTCTCACCGAACTATCATCACTCATGGCGTACTTCGGCCACCTGACGATATCCCTTCTCTCCCTATCCAGAGGTGATCGGGTCCTCGCTTTGGGCTCAGCACCATCGGCTCTCGCCCCACCTCTCTCTTTCAGTTGTATTGGACTCGAACTTTCTGCCCTGGTCAGTGGCTCTTGTCTCTTCCCCGTCTCGTCCTTAAGCTCCACATCGACGGTTCTCGTACCTTTCGATTCTATCCTTCTTGGCCACCCCTTCTCGTTCAGCTCCACTAGGCTTACCCCGGCAATTGGATATGCCGTGCCCGCATTAGCCGCACGCGCCTCCGGCTGCGCCTCGTCACGAGAATGTCCGGCTACTCCCATCGAAGCCCAGTTCATCATCATTCCTCCCATCGGTACTGAACACCAGTATACCTCAGTCACCGGACCTGTCTCCGATCTCTCCCTTCGTAGCCCTAGGTTCCGAATAGCAGATCCAGCAGCATGGCTATATCCATGAAGTTTGTTCTTCTTCCCCTTAATCTCTCCCCATGTCGCGTTGAATGGTATCCCTTCGGTGTCAAACTTCATGTGCTTCGCCATGGGTTGAGTGGGATCTCGCTTTGTTTCTGCAACTATCCTCTCCATGATCTCCAGACAACTATTCGCAGTCTGCACCATCATGTCCCTCGTGCTTTTCGCCCAAGCGTTGTTCCCCCATAACGGCGAGTTAAAACCTGCGGCCATAGCTATCAGCAGCTGATAACTCATAAACTGTCCTCCTCTCCTCAGACACCCTGCATGCATGGAGAAGAACCTCTGCCTCGCTGTCACTACAGCGCGTGCCGCAACCGTCTCAAGGGCTTGCTGGAAATCTGACGCATCCACAATTCCCGAGTGATCTGTGCCACTCTGATTGTACTCGAAGTTCAGAATCTTCCCGAACGATGTGGCCAGCTCTCTATCCAACATCATCGCATGAATCGCCGCCTCTTCCATAGCGAACCTGTATACCCCCGGTCGTGACGCTGCTATCTCGTACTCAGGCCACAATCCAGCCCTAAAACCTAAGTACCAGTCTTCTGCGGGGTTCAAGCTCGCCAGTATCCCTGCCACCACGTCTCGTTCTATCATGTCTATCCTTTCGGCCACCATTCTGAACGAGATTTTAATCCCTGCGCGGTCGAGGGCTTCCTGTAGCTTGGTCTTCCACTTCGTCTTTCTTCCCATAGTCGCGTTTCTATCCGTGATTTCCCACAAATTCATCCCCATCAGGTAGTCCGGGTAGGATGGCATAGGCTTGCAACACATCGGGCAGATCACTATCCCTTTCGCCATTCTACAGTGGCATGCCAGGCAATGCACGCACTCCTCCGTCATTTCCGACATTATCCATCTCACTCTATCCCGGTATTCATCTGTCCCCAATGTCTTTGATAGTCTATCCCTGTTCACTTGTGAGTCCCTCTTTCATCGGCTAACATGTCCAGCTCGCAATCACGCATGTACAGAGCCGTGTATGTGTCCTCGAACCAAACTGCTTTCCAACATGCCATTGGTACGGGCCCGAGGAGCATGAAGCGCCCACTTCTTGTTACCACCACGTCGCCTCCGATTAGTGTGAACATCCTCATGTCTATCGCTATTCCGATTCTCCTACCTCGCACAGCCGCCAATCTAAGCGAGTCGTATAGCCATTCTGGCATCCCTCCTTGTGGAAATTCTAGCCCATGCATGCTGCTCACGTCCGATGGCTCAACAGAGTACTTCGTCCAGTGTGCCTTGAGCGTCATCTGCGACCCTCGCAAAGGATTCCCCATGTCGTCCCGATGCCATCCTTCCACTATCACTCCACTATGCCCTGCCTCTGGCCAAACTATCCCGTCCTTCGCGTATTCTTGCCACTGTGCGTCACCCACCACCATGTATCCGGTGCATGGAAGATCAGCCGGGTGCAGCCTGAACCACAGAGATTCCCGCTCTTCTTTCTGTCCCTCCACTCTGTCTCCAGCCCAACTCTTCAGCATCGCCACGTTCCTCGGCATCCTCATTCCACTCGTGGGTCTCACTGCCAATGGGATGCCCACCTTCAGCTCCTTGGTCTTCGGACATCTATACACTTTGCTGGTGATCTCTATCCCGTAAAACTGTGACAAGTAAGCGATTCTGTACTCGTCGCCTCTCCTGAGCCTATACGAAGATCTCTCGTCAACTTCTTTTCTGATCCTAGACCAGGCTATCCCTCCTCCGTGGTGTTGTTCCGCCCACAGCGCATACTCTATCCCGTTTCCCTTATCGATCGCTGATCCATCTATCATCGCCTCCTGCGTGCTTCTTCTCACATTCCTCCTGTCGCCCCTTTGTACTGGGTACGCATCTCCTCCCCACGCTGCCAATTCCGCCACTATTCTTGCCATCTCAATGTACACATTCGCAGGGTACGGCTTTTCTATCTCGGTCACTTCTCCTTTGATTCCTAGCTCATTCAGCGTAGCACCTGTCCACGTCGTTACCGAGTCATTAGATACTCCCGTCGCCGTAACTAGCTCCTCTGGCTTTCCCTTTTCTATCCCCATTACCATCCTCGTCTCATCTGCGAGCTGCGAGACTATCCTCTCAAGTACCATCTTGTACTTCTCTAGATTCTCCACCCCTGTTGTCTGCTCCACTATCGGCAATAGCACCACCTCCTCGTCACTATTCCTCATCATCTCGTTTCCGTCTGCATCGCGATTGCCCTTAGGAATCAACGTCAGCTCCCACCTTCCATGAGCCGGATCCCCCTTCACGGTGTGAGATGTCTGCAACATGACCTTCTTGTTGATTTCCCCCATTACTGCCGCATTCCTTCGTTGTATCTCTCGGAACCTCCTACTCATTCGGCTCATTCCGGGTTTGTCCTCGATGTCCCTCTTGTCTGCCTTGGCTCTCCTTATCAGGTCCTCTTGGAATCTCCACTCTGCCTCCTCGTCACCCTTGATCTTCTCGACTTGTTCTCGCTTGATTCCGGCCGAGTCCATAATTCCTTTTAAACTCTTCGACGCTGCCATTCCGTATCCCCGCTCCTCCGTACT